AGACCTCTCTGGCTTCAAGATTAGGCTAGATAAGTTTATGGAGGGAATGGTTTGATGGGATAACGTGATTTTAGTCAATTAGGCAATAACGTGCCATCGCTGGTAAAATGTGGGTCCGGCTGGAGAATCTTGCCTGTATGCTCGGGGTTCTACTGATCGCCATATTTGGGGTCGGGAAGGAATTTTCCTCCAGGGTAGATTGGCAGAGGCCCTGGAGGTTTTTTGCCTTCCTCCGCAGCATAGGGCAGGGGTCGCAAGCTGGAGGATTCTCTGCGACTTGAAGTCTTTAAATCACGATCTGGAGACTTCAACAGCTGAGATAAGGGAAATTGGGTGGGTCAGCTTTTGTGGCCTGCATCATGCGGGAGTCAGACTAGATGACCATAATGGTCCCTTCTGACCTTAAAGTCTATGAGTCTATGAGTCTTTCTTGTGGAGCTTGGATGATCAGAGACCTCAAGGTGGGAGGCTGGAAGGAGTACTCAAATCCTTTTCCCAGTGCCTTATATCTCCTATATGCATACATGGAAGTTGGCAGGGATCGATGCAGGAGCATACCATACAGTTTTAGCTGGTTCTAGCAGTACCTCATTGATTGGTAGGACCATTCTACCTGATTGAGAGAGCCGGAGAACACCCAGCACATTGTGCGGCTTTTCTTGTCTGATGCCAAGTGAAAAGTCTAGAGTGTCCATTAGCTGATGAGTCTTTCAACTCACCTGAAAGGGGTGTGGCTGGAGGGTTGGTCATTTCATCAAAGGGGCAGTGGCTATTGGTGTTTAGGGGAGAAATCATGCCCACTGACTCTTTGTTCCTCCTCTACTACAGAGTGTTGAGGGGTTGGTGTCAGGGCCAATTGCAGAAGCTGTTTGGGGGAGGACAATCTTAATTTACAATTGAGCTGGGGAGATGCAGTACCTGATGGTGTCGTCAGAGATTGGGACCATGATGGCTAGACTGCGGTACTGGCATTGGGGGCTATCGGTACTGTGTGCTGAGGCAAAGTGGTTACCATTGGTCTTGGAACTGGCTTCATGATCAATGAGTCAGCAACATGGAAGGCAATGTATGCACTCTGGCAAGACACTCTCAGTCTCAGTAATCTGCTAAGGTGGTACTAAGAGGCTCAGGAGATCTTTTGCAGCTGCATAGGGTTCCAGGGTGGTTGGTACCAAAATAGACCTTGCTCCATTATGATCAAGGGTGATGGCTCCAGTGTCTGCTCTAAGGAAGCTGCCAGCCTCAACTGTCCCAGCTCAGGAACCAGAGTCAACAGCTCTGTCCTGGTCAAGCCACTAGGGAGTGATATTGAGGAGCAGCAGCCAAAGGGTACGCTCTACCTTCAGTACTGGAGTAGTTACCCTCTGCAGCCAAAGAGTCCCCCACCAAGGACTTCAACAATGTGAAGCCATCCATTTCTTTGGTTTTGAAGGCTGAGAGGGCTCTGAGCATTAATGTCTCTTCAAGGAGAACTCTGACAAAGAGGAACACCTTTCTCTGATTTCTGGTAAGGACGGGGAGCACTCCTGGATTAAGACGAACTCCCTCTAACTGATCAAGGATGATGGGCAAAGGCATTCTTCTCTTACCTTCTTGATTTGTGAAGCTTTGGCGAAAGACAGAACGAAAAAGGGGGTTTGAGGACCCCAAAACAAGTGCCACTAACCAGCAAAAATCACTAGCTGCATGTTCACAGAGTAACATCTGACAGCACACTCCGAACAATGACAGTACAAAGGAACAGAAGGGACCCTGTGTGCCTGGGCACCAAGAGAAAATAATTAATACTCAGGTATAATCATAATGGAGCAAAGGTCTTTTTTTTCTTTTCTTTTTTAACAATTTAGGAAGTTTTAACATGTTTACTAAACCTTGTAAATATCAGGAACAAAACAATCATTACAACTGTTCTCTTTTGTTTAAAGAGACATTATACAGGAATATAGCCATCAGATCTTTCTATTTAACAGGTTGTTACCATGTTACAGAGTGAGCATCATTACAACACCTATGACATTTCTAGTGATTTTATTAAATTGAGTGAAACCTCTATATCCACATATTTAACAAACCATGTATGTCTATCAAATGTTAATATTCAAAAAAATTAGATAGGTGGGGGTTTTTTTATGTTTTTTTTTTTGGCAGGTGAATGTACTTTTTCTGAGTAAGGAATAAAAGGTAACCAAATATCAAGCATCTGTCTGTTTTGCTGGATACGTAATTAGTATGTTAATCCCATATTTTTGAACCATTCCTCAATGGTTGGGCTATTTTTCTTTTTTCCATTGAGGGACTACCAATAGCCGAGAGGCTACTAGCAGATAAGAGATTAATTCTTGAGTTCTGCATGTAGTTTTGTATACAGAATTATACAAGTAAAATGATTTTGAAGTAGGTACATTACTAAATTTCTAGATACAAATTTTCAAAAGTTCTCCTTAATTTTACCCAAATATTTGCAAGGTTTCTTCTTCATATATGCAATACTGTATTCATCTGTACACAAGAGTATTACAATGTGCAAACTGGGTAATTGTGTCTCTAACTGTAAGATTTTCCATGCATGGAAACAGATGTGCTTGCAAATACTTTGGGCACAATTAAAAGATGTCCTTTGAGAGGTTGCCCCATACTGCCAGATCACAACAGTATTAAAACTACTGAAATAAATTAATGAACTAGTACACACTTTTTAATTTTTTTTTTTTTAATAGTGGTGTGGCACTGTGTACTCAGATTCAATTTCTACTGACGACAGGAAGCAATTTCTGGCAGATAGATTTGCTACATGTTCCTGGATGTTTCAGTGACTCTTTTCCAATAATAGGTTGAAAACAAACAAACTAGACAGGGGAAGATATTTTCAAAATGTAGTTTTCTATTTTTGGAAGCCCCACCCTACTTTAGAAGTTAAAGAGTTCAATTCATTTCAGAAACACACACAACGATGCATTTAATTAGAATGCTCACATTCCCATTAAATTTAGGTAAAGAAGTTTAACTTAGAGATGAACAAGTCTCTATACATCTCTCTCTGGATAATTGTCAATACAAACAAGCTTGTGGAATACAACATTCTTTTAGCCTGTACCTTCTTCAAATACTGTCTCTAAAAGTATGGGAGTGATAGCACAGAAGACCCTAACATTGTGACAATACAGCTGGCTTTTCTGCTTTTTCAGGAAGTAATGTCCAGTATAGGAAAATACACATAAGCTGCACTTTGTAGGTACCAGAAGATCAGGCAAGAATCACAATACATCACCTACCTGCAGGCCTCTGCACACTCCTGTCTCCAGAGTTATTCTAGTTCAGACACTGTCTTAATTTCACCTCTATACTAAGTTGTTGCAGACCTTTATTCAGTTGTACCGTATGAAAGTTACTTGCCATAGTCCGAGACTAAAAACATCATGCTTGTAAATACTGCTAAATTTGCTGAACCAAGAACTGTATGTTAACCCCCGCCCCCACCTTCCTAAAATGGAACTTATTTGCTACTATATTTTCAAATTGGTAGCACACAGACAAAAAAACAAAAAATCCACACAAACATTCACAAGGCACTTGGCCCTGCCACTTGGGAAATTTGGGTTCAATTCCAGGACAAGTATTTCATTCTCAGCAGTGGCAGAATCCTGGGAAAGCATCACACTCATCATTGTCAAGTTTGGGGAAAGAAGCATATCAGTCTCTTAACAGTAACTGCTCCATGACTAGTAAGTGGGGCCAATAGGCTGTAAATAGAACTCTTTCCAGTGCTGTCTCAATTCTTCTTAAAATGATGGTGTACAGAGAAAAATAGAGGGGGGAAGAGATATTTTCAGGATTTCAGCAAGGGCGGGGGGGATAACATATGCTGTAAAGGCTCCCATAGTGATCTCTGCATATTATAAATCTGCAGTAAAATCCTCAAAGTAGCTGGAGTTTATGAACAGGGGGCCCATTTAAGACTTGAACAAAAAATCCAGTAGGTTTAAGTCCACATTATCAACTAATTTGAAAAAGTTCTTTTATTCAAAACACAGTGTTTTTTGAGTTACAGCAGTACAAACATGTTTGACCATAGCCACTAAACCTAAATTCAAGGATGGCTGAATTCATTTTAATCTAATTTATTACCCATAATAAAATTCATTCTTGAGAGGAGTTGTCATATGCCAAGTTTCAAGTTACAGTGGATTTTTATGGCAAAAGTATAACCCCCATTTTATGGGTTAATAGGGTAAAAACTGACAACTTTATAGCCATGATAGCTAACAGTATGCACAAGATATTTCTCCAAGCAACATGGAAACAAGATGCTTTTTTTAAAACTTGCATCAAAGTGCACAAAAATGTGTGGGAGATATTTACTAAAATGGCAAATGCAAAATATTCCACTGAATCCTGTTAAATAATAATTAAATAATAAAAAACAGAGAAGCAGTGACAAGGCAAAAAAACATGATTTGAAATATTCGCAACCTGTCACTTCATTATCAAGCTGATGGGGACAGTTTTTAAATCCCTGCCCTTTCAATTAGGATGTATGAAAATGCATTATCTACATGTTAACAACATCAAAACACTCTCACGGCAGATGCTCAACCCTGCACAGTAGCCATTTATTTCTGAAATATGTGATGTACAAACACATGTATCCTGACTGGAATAGTATTGGAAATTCAATTAACTAATAATAATATTAAAAATGTTGGTTTAATTTTCCTCCTCCACAATCTGTTCTAAAATTGTTGGTGTATGTTTTTTTTAAATGACACCCTCCCTTGACTTGTGATGGACCTGAAGAGGCAATGCTTTACTGCTTCTGTTTCAATAACAGGTCTACTGCAATCTCTAGAGCCAATTTTTCAAATAATTATTTGCATCACAGAAAAAAAAAATCTCTCTGCTGCATTGTGTGTGTGTGACTGTTTCTAAGCAACACTGTTGTTTCAGATCAAACATGAAATAGTCATCTCAGTAAAGGTTCAGTGCTTTTTCTCTGTACTTACTTATTCTGCATCATGTTCATTATAACCCAGTCGAAGGGATAGACATTCTTCCCAATGAGATTCTTGAACATGATGAATGTTTCCATCAGAAAGTCCTAAAATAAGAGGGAAAACATTTGAAAAAGGCCACTCTTTCAGATCAAATATGATACCATATGGCTGATGAAAACTCACTTGATTAATGACTAAATTCAAAAAGGTATCTCTTGCTTTGTTGAATGAAAAAATACAAACTACTGTTAAGGTAAACTTTATATTAATTCTATAATTATATTATCCCTTTCAGACGATATCTGTAACAAGTATAGGGTTTTTTTCTTTTTTTAAATTAAATAGTTCTATATTGTAATCAACCAATTCATGGTATAATTCCATGAAAAAGAACAAATGACAAAAAATTCATCAAATTGAAATTTTTTGCTGAAGGTGATTCCAGCTCTCATTGATAAATATGTAGTTAAGGATAAGCATGAAGTCTTACAAAATGAACTTCATAGTACATAACAACATAACACACCAGTCAAAGAAGAATAGATATATAAAATTGAGATCTGTCAATCCTGTTTTGAATATAAACGTTAAAACAAACTATTTGTATATGTAAAAAGAGGGAGGAAGGTTTTAAAAATATTTCCTACGTTAAGCAAATAAGGGTCCAATTATACAAAAGTATTCACTGGTGAGTAGGTGGATTCTCCAGCGTAGACTTGTTTTAAAAGTTATGCTCTGGTTCGAATTAGAATTAATTCAGGGAAGTCCTATGCCTGCGTTATATGGGAGATCAGAGTAGATGATCATTTTAGGCTCCCCCTGAAAAGGGACACAAATTGGTTCTGCAAGAGAAAAACTGATGCTGCACAAAATAAGCTTGGTGGCATAAGCCAGTTGATTTTTGTATAGACATGAACAAACAACTCTCTGGAGAAAGAAACTTGTGCAATTTACATGTGCTGTGAAGCACCTAGCACAATTTGCGGTGCTGTAAAAATAATAAGGCGTATTAACATGCAACACTTTACAGAGCATCAAAACCACAGAAAATATGCAGAGAGCCAGAAAGAGCTTATGCAACAGCTCCTCATCCCACAGAATGTACCAGCGAGTCCCGCTGAACTTTTTATTCTTGATACAATTGTCTCAGTTATTCTAGTCCAAGGCTATTTCCTGTGCTGGAGCTTACATGGAACCTTGTTCAACACCATCTCTTCAAAATGTCAGATTTCTCCAACACAGAAAAATGACACCCATCTGTCTTTTCATGCAAGACAGTGTTCTCCCATTCGTCTGTCCATCCAAAGTCTTACTGGAACTCCATGCTTGTTTGAGTTAATCTTTCTTGCTCATTGTCCTTTTAAACATTTTAACACTGGTATGAGTCCTGGTATTGAATATACCCTGGGAATGTTATTGCTTTCCCTAGAATACTAGAAGAGGTGCATATTTCCAGGATATACAGCTCTCCCTGGTCAATATTATGAATACTGCCATTGACCAGCCAGGGAATTTCTCACCTCCAAGAACCAAGGAGTTCCTAAGCATGCTCAGCAGCTGTACAGTGAGATGGGAGTGAGAGAAAGGATGACTGGTTTAGAATGTCTTGTGCAGCATTCTGCAGCAACCAAAGGAGGAAATATTTCACATATTTTTATCTGATGAATTGTAATTAGGTGCAGTGGCTATACAGCCAAAGAGGCCCACAAAACATCAGATGGCACAGAATATGTATTTTAAAGAAACACCACTAGGTGAGTAAAACAGCTAATGGTAAAATTACTCTCCATAGCACATCAGTAAAAGAAGACATTCTGACATTAAAAGAAGTGACTTCCCAGACTTCCAGAGTTTGCAACTGCTAATAGTTAATATGAGATGCTACTGTTGCATAAGGCAAAATTCATTCCAGGCAAATACTTCACTAGCTCAGTAAATGTGTTCTCAGTTTAGTGATCAAACTGCATACTTCACTACTAGCTTTTCATATATAAAAGTTACAAATTTTTAATGATCATATTGCGTATTTTGCTGACTACGTTTTTACTACATGAAATGGTTGATTTCCTTGTTGATCCTGCTTCATAGCTTAATAACTGAGACGTCAGTGGGAGATGTACTCATGTGAATGAGGGCAAATTTGGGCCCATAGAGTTTATCTTTCTGAATATTTTATGAGTGCAGATACATACTTTCCTGGTTTCTTATAGCAGATTTCATTTTGTACTTTATTAGTTCTGCTGGATGCTTCAGCTGTGGAGTTTTTGCACACTTTGCTGATCAAGCTGCATGTGGTGGCAGATGAATTTTCATGCATTTTGCTGATCAACTTGCATACTTTACTGACCATGAAGGTGGTGTAATGTCTGATTTGTGCTAATTTGCTGATTCAGCCACGTATTTAATCTATTGACATTTACACTTTAATAACCCCATTTTCACAAAGGTACTTTAATCATCAGCACGTAAAGTTTATTGAATAGAATTTATATCCTCTGAAGTTTACTTATTCATTATGTATTTATATCAGTGCTCTCTTGGCAGTTTAGATTCTATCCTTCCTATATGAAAAGTAGTTGATTTTGTGCCAGTATGGCTTGCATTATGAGCAAAAATCTGGATTTTATTTTTAATCATCAGCTCATGCTAAGTTTCCTCAGCAACTTTCAAGGTAAGAAACTTTTAGTGCTACTTTGAACCAATACAAACTGCTCTAATTGTAAAGTAAGGATACAGAATCAAATTGTAGGAGCAAACCATGCAACTCTTCCTTCATTATAGCACAGCTTCTGCCTTCTGACCAACTGAGAAGCCTACTTGATATGTCACTGAGGACAAGAAAGGTCTGAAGCCCTCTTGGTTGCTGCACCAGTGAGCTTCACACTGGTGACAGAGAAGGGGTAACCAGCTGAGCTCCGAGACAGATGGGTTCCATTTGCAATCTTTCTGGTTTTTAAACTAAGGGGAAGGGAGAGGACGACGGACAGTGTGTAGACAGACAAACGGGACTTACAAAGAGATCAGGGTGAGGAAAGGGAATGGAGAGCCATTTATTTTAGTTCTCCGTTTTTTAAACACAGTGTTTAACTGAGATTGGCGTGAAAAAACAAAGAATGCAATTTTCCTTGTTGCAGCTGACTATCCAGCAAGCTCAATATACAAAGACCTCTAGAATGGTGGATTATAGGATTTCAGAGTGAGAGTTTCTGAACACAGAGAGAATAAAGGCGATAGGAAAGGGAAGAGAACCCTGACATTGCCTGCCTGTTGTGTGATGGCCTCTTTCCCTGCCTCACCTGACTGTTCATATCAGGCAAACTATGTTTTTTCATGAACACCGGAAACGGGGCTGAGGCTGCCCTGCTGTATTCTCCCTTCTTCCCAATAAGCCTGACCCTCTGCCTTGTAGTTGGGTGCAGAACGGAGAAGAGAATGCCCCTTTCCATCCTTCAGGCCTCCAGACATCACACACCATGTTTCACAAGCTCTACTGTTCACAGAGTTGTGATTTTCCAGGAGTTCTCCAATAAATCCCAAGGCTTAGTAAGATCATTTGAAGCTCTCTACAGAGCACATAAGAAACATGGGAACTCCATGTAAGGAGGATTTTAGGGGACAAGCAACTCCCTTGTAAAGCATCCCCTATGGTAAGTGGATCCCCACCTACCAGTGACATGTATTGGCAGCCAGGCCTCCCCAGAGCACCACTATATAAAGCAGATGGCAGGTGGGCTCCACACCAGCCCATTTATGGGGAAAGGGGCACTTGAAGAGTAGGCAGATATGCTAGGGCTTTAGTAAGGGGGGATGTTTTCATATAGCTTGCGACTTTTTTTTAAAAAAAAGGAGTAAAATCTTCAAACTATTGTGGCTTTTCTGAAGTAGCAAGCAAAGTGGCGGTTAAAGAAAGCCAAAAAGCAATTGCTTTAAACTATAAAGCAGCCATGAAAGTAATCTCTCACACTACCAGTAGTGCCAGTTCAACATCTGACTTCAGATGAAATACTTAGTACAGTGGTTCTCAACCGGGGGTCTGCAGCCCCCTGGGGGTCCATGACTCCTTTCAGGGGGTCCACGTGGCCCCGCGTCTGAAACCTGGTGCCCCAAGCCCCGGCGACCTCTGTGCGACTAAAGCTCGGAGCGGCGCGGGGATGAAGCCAGCAGCCTCCCCTGAAGCAGCCCGGGGCTGAAGCTGGCAGCCCCAGAGTCCCATCTCCCCGCCATGGGCAGAAGCCCTGAGCCCATGGGAAGAGACAGGGGGTGGGGAGGAAGGGGGATCAAGGGTGTCGGCCCCCAAACTACAGTGCCTTACCCAGAGTGGGGCAACTCCGCCTCCCCTACTTCCTCCTCTCCTCAAGCCCTCCTCAGACCCAGGTTGTAGGTGGGAAGCCAGAGCCAGGCAGTGTGGGGCAGTTGCTCCTCTGGCTGCTGGTGCCATGGAGCGGGCAGCCGTGGCATTCCCCATCTGCTGCTGGTGCCCGGGGTTGTGGCTGCTCCTCAGCTCCCAGCCCTCTTTGACTACTCACGCAGCCGGTAAGAGCCGCCTGGGAGGGGGGGCCCTGCTCTGGGGCCAGCACAGCTCTCGGGGAGCAGCCACCGCAGGGAGGCCCTTCTGTCACACCGCCCCTAACTATCCTTCTCCCTGCAACCTGAGCTATCCCCCACGCCCCCACACAGCCTCTAGCTACCCTCTTGCCTGCACCCAGAGCTACACCCCTCACTACACACAGCCCCTAGCTACCCCCTGCTTACACTGAGCTACTCCCCTCACTGCACACAGCCTCTAGATACCCCCTGCCGGCACCCTGAGCTACCCTCTCCCCACCCACGGATTCCCTAGCTACCCCCTTCCTACACACCTGAGCTACTCCCCTCACTGCACACAGCTCCTAGCTACCCCCTCTGCCTGTACACAGCCCCTAGCTACCCCCTGCCTGCACTGAGCTACTCCCCTCACTGCACACAGCCCCAGCTACCCCCTGCCTGCACCCTGAGCTACCCCCCCTGCCTGTATGTAGCCCCTAGCTACCTCCACTGCCTGAACCCTGAGCAGTTTTCAAACTTTTTGAGCTGAGTCCCCGCTTTGAGTTATATTTTTTGGTTG